TCCTCCTGCCTGAGTTTTCTGAGTGCTGGGATTACATGCACACAACTCCAGGCACAGAATTTAAATACTGAAGGACTGAGACCAAACTGTCGCCATCTTCAGATAACAAAAATACCAAAAGGATCAACAATTACAACTATTAAGTTCAGAAAGTGATCAGATACAGAATCAACTTACAAGAATCAAAAAACAGGGAGATTGGAAATTGTTAACGTTCGTTGAAATGTGAATTTCAATGTTTTCCCAAAACACACAGAACAAAATCCAACAAAATTCACCGACCTGAGGACCTTTACTGTCTCCAATTGCTGCCCCTTCAGCCTCAGTCCTGCCGCTACTCACACACATGCCTGCTTCATTTTGACCTTGGGGCCTTTGCATAGGCTATACCAGCTCCCAAGTGTCTGCCCATATTTTTTTTTTTTTTTTTTTTTGATACTGGGGTTTGAACTCAGGGCCTATTCCGTGAGCCACTCCACCAGACCTTTTTTGTGATGGATTTTTTTCGAGAAGCCAGGCTGGCTTCGAACCGCGATCTAGGATTACAGGCGTGAGCCACCGCGCCGGCTCTCCTCATTCCTTTTAGACATCACTAGATTTCATTCCCAGCAATCCAGAGGCCAGATTAAATCTCCATCTCAGATCAGAGCCTGGCACACAGCAGGTGCCCGGGACACAGTTGCTGAAGCTGCACCCTCCACCCGGAGCCAGGCGCTCACCTCTCCGCAGGAGCCTGGCCAGGACCCAGCTCGGGCCCCCGGCCACAGCCAGGCGATGCAATCGGCCCACCTGGGCATCCGGATCCCGCACGGAGCCCAGGTCCACGGGGAAGCGCGAGGGCATCTGCGGTGCCCACTCACGTCCTGGGCGGAGATCAGCTAGGGGGTCTCATGGGGACAGGAGAGGGGCGGCATGTCTGGAGCAATTAAGAGCGAGCTGGCTGGAGGAGCAGGCTAGCTGGGAAGGGGCTTCAGGAGGGTCTGATGGGAGAACAGGAGAACAGGGGTGGCCTGGGGCGGAGGGGTGGGGCGCCCAGACCCGAAGGTCAGGGTGAGCGGAGTCTGAGAGCTGACGGGGACCTAAGGAAACATGGTGGCCGGGAGGGGGTTTGAGGGCTGGGGCAGAACAGGCAAGGGTAGTAACAGAAGGGCTGCCAGGGCGGCTGGAGCTGGGAAAGTAGGCTAAGGAAAAAGGCGGGAAGAAGCGGGCACCTTACAGCAGGGGGCGGGGCTCTGTGGGCGGGGCCTGCGGACGGGTGGGCTGTAAAGGGGTGGAGTCTGAGGGTGGAGGTGGGGCTTCCAGAATGGAGTGGGGTCCAAGACTGTGGGAGGGGTGGAAAGGGAGGGCAGGGCGGATCTGAGGGCAGAGTTCAGGGGCCGGAAGTCCGTTCACCTCCCCCCACTGAAGCACTAAAAAGTTCTAGGCCCAGACCTTAGTCCAGGTGGCTTGGCATCTACCGTTAGGATGGATGGTGGGCACCACGTGACTGCCACGTGACCCCGGCACAGCAGAAGGCGTCTGGCGGGAAGCCTGGGCGCATGCGTACTTCCCTGCGCGCATGCGCAAACGTCTTATGCGCTTGCGCAGTAGGGAGGCCTCCCCACGTCCTGGAATGACCACCCAGGAATAGCTATGTCTACCCCAGAGCTTTCAGCTCTGCACACTCCTTCCTTCTTGTTTTTTGCCTTGGCTTCTTTGAGGCAGTCAGGACCTTCTTGACCCCTGTACAGTGTCCTTGACTGTGTCCCCATGTGCCACACCAGTGTCTGTGGACAGTTTCCATCCTCTCCCCCCAGCCAAGACCTGAGGGCCTCAGGACGCCTCCCTTGGACGTCGCCACCCATATCACACCCACTGGGTCCCACGATGGCCTCAGAATCTTCCCCAGACTGTTTTCTCAGTGCCTTACCTCAGGATTGGTCCTGCTACCCTTTCTAAATGAAAGCCCTGCACCTCTCCCTGGCCATTTCCCTCCCATGGCCCATGCTCTTCAGTCTCCTCCTCCCCTTCCCACTCCCTGCCCTGTTCTGACCTTCCCTGGGCTCCCAGCCTGTGTCTGAAACAGGTAAGAAACACCACAAGGGGACAGAAGGCATGTAAACTTTGAGTCCTTGGTGCCTTACCAGTTAAAAGCATGATGTGTTTTCTTCTGCCTCCGTCCTGGTACTCCCAACAGCTTTGTCATGAAACACCACCTTAGGCCACAAGGCCAGAATGCTTCCAGGCTAGGAGCCCCATATGGCTGCAATGGCAATGCATTAGTGGCCACTAGTTCTGAGGCAGGTTAGCAGGCAGGGGAAATAACTTACCGGGGCACTCTTCTCTTAAGCAAACAAAATTAACAGGCACCCCAGTGTGGCCCTGAACTGTCTCTAGAGCAATAAATACCCTCTAAGTTGTAAATACCCTGGTGGTGGTAAGTATCACAACAAGATAGCATCCATAAGAGGTGCTTTTGGGTCTGCCTTGCTTGTTAAAAAACGCATGCCCCCAATTTGACTTCCCAGGCCAAGTCCTCTTACTTAGGATCTCATGAATATTGGTCACATCTCATACATACAATTAAAGGCCTAAGAATTAGCATAAGCACATACGCAGAATATACCTTGTTACGTGATAAGGCTGTGTTAAGTGTACCTGCCAGCCACCCTAGCCCTTCCCTAAGGATTACCCAGATTTTTCCCACCTTAGAATTTATAAATTGGGCTTAAAGAAATCAATGCTTCTGTGCCACCTGGCAAGGGCCCACTGCTTCCCTTGAGGTGCTTCTTTCTTTTTCTTTTCTTTCAATAAACTTTTGCTAATCAATGCCTCTTTGCTATTAGGCAGAGGCCCACAGCTTTTCTGGCAGTGGGTTTTGGTTTTTGTTTTTTTCCTTACTGTTTCTTCCTTTTCTTTCAAAATAAAGTTTTGCTACGGTTTTGCAATTTGTGTCTCTGTCCCGTTCCCTGTTCAGGTGACACAAGGACTCAGGGTCTTCTAGACTAGTGTCTTCTTAAACTACTCAGCCCAGTAACAGTTCCACTGCAGAAAATGCTTCTGCCACGTGGGTTATGATAACAGTTGCCTAGGTTATGTTGCAGAAACTTGGCCACTTTTATTAAAACACTGATTCTACACGAGCCTCTAGAGAGCTGATGGATGACTGAAATGGGATGAAAGGTTTGACATCTGTCTTCATACTATGTCTTTCCCCTTTGCTTCCTCCACCTAGAGTCAGACTCCACAGCTCTGCATGTAGACATGCTGATCATTTGAGAAATGTTTCCTCCAAGACGAAAATATAGGGCTAACCTGGCCTACAGCCTGTTGGAGTGGATGTGTGTTTCTTCTACACCACCCTTGTGCTTTCTCAGCAACTCAAGCACTGGAAGTCCCTCAGTCCTATCATAAGGTCAGGACATTTATGCAAGATGATGAAGCCAGCTGTAACTCAGCAGTTCCCGAATGGAGATAACCACCATTAGCCCACCAAGTGCAAGGCAAGAATGCTTGTGCACAAGAAGAACATCTTTTGAAACTGCCCATAACTAATGGACAATTACCAATCTTTAGTCCACTACAGAAAATCAATGAAAGCTGCTTCTTCCTTTGTTCGAGTGAACAGCCTGGTCACTTCTGGTCAGTGTTAGTTCCCTTTGACTCCAGTTAGCCAGCTTGAGTTGAGGCTCCAATAGGGAGCCTTGCCTGATTTGTTTTAATATATATCTGGGTCTCATATCAAGCGTTTCCATGCCACATGGTCCTGCCATCCTGTATCATCCCTCTCTGTCCCACCCATAACTAAACCTGACCCTGTCCCTCCCCTACCTGTAACCCTCCTGATTCCCCAGCACCCTGAGACTGTATCATCTGGTTCTGTATGCTCCTCCATCCTGATCTCCCCACTCCCCAGTCTGCATCACATTTCTCTATTTTTTTCACATGCCCTTGCCTTTGAATGTTCACATCCATCATTACTATTATTCTTTCTTTGTGTGTGTATGGTTCTGGGGTTTGAACTCAGGGCCTAATTCTTGAGTCACTCCACCAGACCTTTTTTGTGAAGGGTTTTTTTTTGAGATAGGGTCTCTCAGAACTATTTGCCCAGACTGGCTTCAAACCACGATCATCCTGATCTCTTGTCTAAGTAGCTAGGATTGTAGGCGTGAGCACTGGCGCCCAGCAGCAGCCCTATTTTTGTGATGGGTTTTTTTGAGATAGGGTCTCACAAACTATTTGCTGGGCTGGCTTTGAACTGCGTTCCTCCTGATCTCTGCCTCCTGAGTAGCTGGGATTACAGGTGTGAGCCACCAGAACCCAGCTTTACTATTATTTTTATGAACTATGGGAGACACATTGTGATGGCCCCTAGTGCTGTCATTGTCTGAAGGTAGTTGATCCCCTACTGGACCAATGGCCCTGTGAGACAGGGCCAAGATTGTCCTTGTCACTGTTGTGTCACTGTGTGTCCCCAGCTGTGTTCACCTCAGAACCTAGGTCAGAAAGAGCTTCATTCTATGCCTATTAACTGAGAGTGGCCCCTCCCTGGACATGTGGGTTCAGCTAAAGCCTCTTGTCTTTAGCGACTCAGTGTCTGCTCTTCTGTGCTCCTCATTGGGCATCCAGTGAGATGAAGAAAGTTCTTGCACCCATTCCAGGATGGTCTGCCTCAGAGTTAGGGAGAGGTCTTCTCAGTCCCTTGCTATGGGATATAACCTTCTAAAGATCTCTCTCCCTACTTCTACTCCCTCTCCAGAGTCTCGCTATGCAGCCCAGGCTTCCTTCAAACTTTCCATTGTCCTGCCTCAGCCTCCCAAGTGTTTGGATTATAAGCGTGTGTTCCCTTGTCCAGTTAACACCTTTCTTGAGCCATGAGCTCCTGAACTCAGGCTGGTTGAGGTCAAAATGAGTCCTTTTCCAAATGAGGCAGCTTCAGGGCAAGCAGGACAGCAGCTTGGGTAGTATCTTGGGAACTTTATTGACCTTTATTGACTCCCAAGAGTTCCAGTAGGGTACACTTAGGCCTTCCCCTGCAGCCTCCGCCACAGTTCTTGGCTGAGCAGTGCCTGTTCCCTGCGGGCACCCTGCAGTACACTCCGGTTCTCCTGAGCCCTCCGGATCAGGTAGGGGATCACCTCCGTCAGGGAGCCATAGGGAATGGACTTATACACCATGTAGCCAGCCTGCCCTAGGGGGAGAGTGTTGGCAGGGCATGGGCTCAGGCTTAGGGAGAGGTGTCCCCAGGTGTCACCTGTAACAGAGGCTTCCAATTCTGAGAACATGGCAAACGAGGTGGTTAGACAAAATTTCTCACTGAAAAAGTAAAAGTCTTAGAGCAAACATTTAAAAGAAATCTTCTTAAGGTTATTAAAATGCTGGCAAGTGAGCAAGGAATTTACCAATCCAAGAATTGAGAGAAAGTGAGAACCCAGAGAAAGGACACACAGAGAGCCACTTCTGCCCTGAAGGTAAAATTGAGCTGCTATTTGGTGATTTCCCAGAGTTATAAGGGTACAGCTGCACTGTCATCCTGACTGAGGTGATGGTGACAAAGAACGTCCCCCAAATTAAGCTTGAACCCCAAAAAAGCTACAGTCTCAGAACGAGAGTCAGCAAGAAGCCAACCTTCCCTCTCACATATTCGAAGCCCAAATTTGCATCCCTGTTGTCTGAAGACAGCTGAAGCTGTGAATTTAAGCTAAAGTGGTTTGGTAGACCTTGACACCCGAAAGAGGAAACATAAATCTTCTGGTCTCGGGCCCCAGAAGCAGCTCAATCAAGATCACAAAGGACACAGGAAACATGACACTGATGAAGAACCAGCAGAAACAACAGACAGCAGACACAGGGCACAGCACTGCAAGGGCCTCAGATATTGGGATAATGGATCTGTCTGGAGGGGCTGCGGGAGGATCCAGCTGCAGGCTCTTGGGGCAGGGAGGGTTGGAGGAGATGGACTATTAACATACCCAGTGCCAGGGAGACATGGTCACACATGCCCAGAAGTTGTCCAAAACAGACGGGCCCATCCACAGGAATGCCCAGCTGCCACATGCTACAGAGAAGGCCACACTGTCAACCCACACAGTCGTAGGATCGAATCCACTAGTCAGCCATTAAACCCATATGGCTAGTTCAGAAATGCAAATTTTGAAGTGCAGTTGGCCCCTGAATCCACAGTTCCTAATCGGCAGATTTAACCAACCAAGGATGGAAAATGATTGAAGAAAATTGTCGGTACTGAATGTGTACATATTTTTTTCCTTGTGATTATTCCCTAAACTGTGTAGTGCATGACAACATTTACATTGTATTGGGGATTAAAAGTAATCTTGAGATGATGTACAGTATGTGGGAGGGTGTGCATAGGTTATATGCAAACACGGTATCATTTCATATCAGGAATTTGAGCACCCGAGAATTTTGGTTGCTATGGATTTTGGTTTCCATAGGGATGAGGGGTCTGTTTCCCGTACCTCTCATCCATGGATACCCAAGGATGTCTGTATTTCCAAATTTAACGATGAATAATTGTCACTCTAACGAGCCGTCCAAAGACTTCCCAGCAAGTCCCACCCAGTCCCTGGACCTGTCCGTGACCCAGTAAATAAAGGACAATGCTTTTGTCCAGCTCATACTTATAGGCGCAGCTAGGCTCATCCCCGTCACCTCCACCCTCTGCCCGTCCCTGTCCTGTGGGCATCTGTTTCCCATCCCTCTCATACCGCTTAGTTGCCTGGTGAATAGACTCTTCGTTGTGGGAAGCCACCATGAGGTGGCACATGGAGCCACGACGAGACACTTGGTTCAACATCAGCTCCAGACAGCGATTGTAACTGAAAGAGATGCTCCATTGAGCCTACCCGGCGAGGGTGGCTGGGGACTCACGGAGTGGGCATTCCTGTACACCTTCCTTTCACACACATCAGCTCCAAGGGACAGGCCATCGCTGGGCCACTTTCCTCTTCTGTTGCTATGGGAACTCTCCTATCTGCGCGGGTGTGATTGAGGAGGGAGGCAAAGGTGTGTGTGAAGTCTCTGACTCATGACAGTCTCATAGCAAGGGGACGTGTCACTCTCACAAGATGTGGATCGACCCAGCATCACTTACAGAACACGATTAGCCCACATGTCCCAAGTAGGGAACTGGCTGCATGAATGACGGCACGCAGAGGAGCATGGGGTCAAAGAAAGGAGCAGGGAGCTGCTATTTGGATGGAAAGTGACATGGTTCCATTATTTCTGCCAGTCCTGGCCCAGTCCTACCTCTGGCTGGTAGCCTCATAGTCAGGCTGGGTGGGATCTTCGCTGCCTTGGAGCTGGCTCACCGCTCTCTCCTTGTCCAGGTAGGCGCCCCGCACCAACTTCACTCCAAAGGCCAGCCCTGCCCTGTGTGCAGCCTCGGCGTCCTGTGCCAGCTGCTCATGTGTGTCCTGCCAGGCACACGGGCACGTTCAGGTGGGTCAGGGCACTGGCCAGCTCTCCCCCACCACAGTCAGAGCACACCCACCTTCAGATAGGCCTGGTAGGTGGTCCACACCCAGGGCCCGCCTTCCGCAGGGCTGTTCCAGTGCTGGGCCAAGGCTGCCACCAGTAGAAAAAGCGCAGGGTTGATGAAGGTGTACTCAGCATCCACCAGGAGCCTTACCTGCTGGTTCCGGGCATGCTGAGGGGGACACATGGTGGTCAGTGTTCCAGAGGAGAGGTCCAGAAGGGGCAAGGAGTTAGGTCTCAGCAGAAGGTCTTACCTGGGCCACCCGGTGCAGGCGACTCAGGGAGGCCTGGAGGTGCTGGTTCTGCTCAGTGTTGAGGTAGGAGATCTGGAGCTTCTAAGGGGCAGCAGGGGACATGAGGGAGGCCTGGTGTTGCTGGACCCTTCCAAGGCCTAAGTCTCCCTTTTCCCACCACCCAGAAAGCAGGGAAAGTTTAGAAATTGCTAGAAGTCAGAAAGGTAACAAGCCAGGTGTGGCGATGCATGCCTGTAATCCCAGACCTCAGGAGACAGAGGCATGAGGATTGTGAGTTCCAGGCCAGCCTGGGCTACATAAGGAGACCCTGTCTCAAAATTTTAAAAAAAAAAAAAAAAAAGCTGGGCACCAGTGGCTCACGCCTGTAATCCTAGCTACTCAGGGGGCAGAGATCAGGAGGCTTGAGGTTCGAAGCCAGCCTGGGCAAATAGTTCTCAAGACCCTATCTCATAAAATCCCTTCACAAAAAAGAGCTGATGGATTGGCTCAAGGTGTGTGCCTTGAGTTCAAGCCCCAGTACTGCAAAAAAAAAAAAAAAAAAAAAGAAGAAGAAGAAGAAGGAGGAGGAGGAGGAGGAGGAAAAAAAAGCTGAGCACCAGTGGCTCATGCCTGTAATCCTAGCTACTCAGGGGGCAGAGATCAGGAGGCTCGAGGTTCGAAGCCAGCCTGGGCAAAGAGAGAAGGGAGTGGAGGGGAGTGGAAGGGAAAGGAGGGAAGAGCAGAAAGAAGAAAAAGAAGAAAGAAGAAAAAAAGACCTGGGGGGCATGGTTCATCCAGTACCGGGGGAAAAAAAAAAAGAAGAAAGAAAAGAAAAATGAAACAATAGATACTCTTTGCCGAGGTGTAATACAATGGCTAGGAGGCCAGACTCTGGGTTTGAATCCGAATCCACCAGTTACTGTGTGACCTCGGGCAGTGTTAATAACCTCTGCTGCCTGGGCGCCAGTGGCTCCCGCCTGTAATCCCAGCTACCCAGGAGGCAGAGAGCAGGAGGATCGAAGTTTGAAGCCAAGCCAGACAAATAGTTCATGAGACCCTATGTCAAAAAAACCATTACAAGTAAAGGGCTGGTGGAGTGGCTCAAGGTGCAGGTCCTGAGTTCAAGCCCCACTACTGCACACACACAAAATACCTGAAGCCCTTCTCCTGGTTACTATGTGAGCTGTGCCAGGACATGATAAGGACGGGACAGTGCCAGCACGAAACAAGCTCTAGGTACCTGTTGTTGTTATTATTTGCAATACGGGCTTAGAACGCAGGGCCCCACACTTGCTAGGCAAGCACTCTATCACATGAGCTACATTCCCAGACCTTTTGGGCTTTACCAAGGCTGGTTTTGGATCATGATCCTCCTACCTCCACTTCCCAAATAGCTGGGATTATAAAGGTGAGCCACCGTACCCAGCTGACTTTTGGTTTTAATGACTGAGAGTCTCTCTTTCTTTTTTTTGAGGTAGCATCTGGATATGCAACCCAGGCTGTCATTGAATTTGCTATATACCCAGGCTGACCTGTAACTCATGATCGTCCTCCCTCAGCCTCCTGAGTGCACCATGCCTGGCTTTAAAAGTAATTAGCTGTGTTTGTTTGTTTGTTTGTTGTTTTGGAGGTGCTGGAGATTGAGCCCAGGGCCTGGCACATGTGTGTGTTCTACCACTGAGCTACACCCCAGCTGACAGAGACTCTTGCTCTGAACTAGTAATTAATTGCTGTGAGCGCAGAGACTTTTGTCTGTCTTGGTCACCACTGTCTTTACCCCCTATCACTGTATTTGAAACCAGGTAAGCAGGCCCAGTAAGCATGCAAAGCATGAATTCACTGTGAAGTGGCAATAATAACTGTCCCTAACTTGCAGTCTTCTGATGGGGATTCCAAAGAGTGAGTGGGGGCTGTTGGGAAGTCAAGGAACTCCACCTGGCTCAAAGAAATTGAAGTGGTAGAGAAACAGGCCAGAAAATACTGGAACAGCTAGTTCATCTTATACCTGATGTCCTTAGTATTTTTCTATACTGATTTTCATCATGCTTAATAACTGCAAAGCAAAGAAAAAGAAAAAAAATGAAACAAGCACAGGTGGGACTTAAAGTTGTACTATAAACCGGGCCTGGTTGTGTATGCCTGTAATCCCAGCCCTTGGGAGGCTGAGGCAAGAGGATCAGGAATTCAAGGCCAGTCTGTGCTACATAGTAAGTCTCTGTTTCAAAAAAAAAAGAAAGAAAAAGAGAAAAAATTTGGTTATGTCCTATAGGGTCCCCGTGGACGACATAAGCCTACACCCGCTAGTGGACCCCCATCAGGGCAGGCCGGTCTGGACTCTGCTGTGCTCCCATCTTGGGGGAGAATGCTTTGATTCTCTAGTAGGAAGGAAGACCTAGGGCACCCTTCCCAGTTTCCTTTCCCCAGAAAGAGAGTCCCCTCCCTCCTGATTGGGGGCAAGGTCTCGGGCGGTTCTGGGGTGTCAGTAGCTGGTGGGATTTCCCTTCACAAGAGCCACCCACATAGGGGCCGTCTCCACACCACACGCTAGGGCAGGCCCTCCACTATTAATATGTTGCTAAAAATTACTTCATTCATTCCCTTGAACATTTGTCACATCTTGTCTGACACATGGCAGTGACAGGACAGCCTGTGCTATGGAGCCAGTAGGTGTGGAGAATGGGGCAGGCGACAGTTCTGATCTGAGATGGGGGATGGCGGGCTGCCTTGAGATGGGGACAGGAAGGAGGAGCGGGTTTGGGGAAACGCTGAAGCTGCCCATAGGATTCAGGTTCACAGGGAGGGGCCAGGAGGCTCAGAGGAAAGGCTGGGGCCAGAGACAGAATTGTGGTCATCCTTAGTGCAGAGGAGGGAAACTGAGGTTGTAAGGGAAGCAATAAGAGAGGGACAGGACTTAGCCCCAGGGAGTCTTCATGTTCAAGAGACAGGCTAGCCAGCATTGGTGGCTCACACTTGTAATCCTAACTACTTGGAAGGCTGAGATAGGGAAGATCGTGGTTCAAGGCCAGCCCGGGCAAATTGTTCAAAGGATCCCATCTCCAAAATAAACAGAACAAAATGGACTGGTGGTGTAGCTCAAGTGGTAGAGAGCCTGCTTTGCAAGGGTAAAGCCATGAGTTCAAACCCCAGTCCCACCAAAGTGGGAGGGGGGGAGGAGAGAGAAAGAGAGAGAGAGAGAGAGAGAGAGAGAGAGAGAGAGAGAGAGAGACAAGCCAGGTGTGGCCTGTAATCATCACTTGGCAGTAGGATGGTGAATTCAAGGCCAACCTGGGCTAGATAGCCAAATTTTCTGTCTCAAAAAACAAAAGCAAGCTGGGCTCTAGTGGCTCACACCTGTAATCCTAGCTACTCAGGAGGCAGAGATCAGAAGGATCACTGTTCGAGGCCAGTCCAGGCAAATAGTTCGAGAGACCCTATCGATGTGATGAAGTGTTCCACACTTGATGGGGATTTGGATTACTCAGGGATGTGTACTCTTCAAAGCTTATCAAGGGGTATATTTACAATTTTTATATTGCATTATACAAAAGAGAAAAAAGTGCTGTAAGTAATTAGTGCACTCTGATTAGTGATTCACACCCTGACGTCTGCAAGTTTGAAAGGCATCATGAGATGAGACAGGCTGGTGGGTGGACAGAGGAACCGGGGAGGGACAGGTAAGACTTAAAGCAAGCGCAGGTGACTCTGTACCCATGGATTCAACCAATGGCAAGTTGGAAATATTCAAGAAAAAAGTTGCATCTCTACATCCACGTGCAAGACTTGCTTTCTGTAACTAACACAGTATAACAACTACTGGGTTTTTGTTGTTCGTGGGCTTGGTTGTTTTTGTTTTGTTTTGGTGGGCCTGGGGCTTGAACTCAGGGCTTTACACTTGCTAGGCAGGTGCTCTACCACTTGAGCCACTCCTCCAGTCCTTTTTGTTCTGGTTATTTTGAGGCTTCAAAGTATTTGTTCTGGCTTTTTGCACAGGCCAGCCTGGACCTTGATTCTATTTTATGCTTCCTGCTGTTGTTCCTTGGATGACAGACGAGTGCCAACTTTCTGCCATTGAGACGTTGAGATGGGATCTCAAAAAGTTGGGGTTTGTTTTTTTTTTACCCAGGATGGCCTCAAAACTCAATCCTCTGGCTCTCAGCCTCCCAAGTGGCTAGGATTATAGGCATGAGCCACCTGTGCCCGGCTTGTTTTCTGTTTTTTAAGATAGGGTCTCACAGTGTAGCCCAGGCTGACCTCGAACTTGCTATGTAGCCCAAGTTTCCTTGCATTCAAGATCTTCTTGCCTCAGCCTCCCAAGTGCTAAGATTATAGGCATGAGCCACCACTCCCAGCAGCACCATAACAACTATTGCATGCCATTTGTATTGCACTAGGAATATAAGTAATCGGGGCATTTGCAGGGTACGCATGGTGTATACAGGTTTTTCTATCATGGACTTGAACGTCCTCAGATTTTGGTATCTACCTACTGAAAAATGACTCCATAGTTACATACTAAAGGTGACAGGTAGATGGGTGCCCACTGCTCAATTCTTTTTATTTTTCTGTATGTTTGACATTTTTTCACAATGAAATGTGTCCCCTACATAGTGGACACTTGTCAAGACAGAATCACAGTAACAAAAAGATACTCCTTACCGAGATGGAGTGGCTGCCAATGGCAGGAGGGAAGAGATGGGAGGTGGAGACAAAAGGGAATGTGCGAATGAATACACAAAAGCTCATTGGCTGGGCTGGGGGTGGGGCTCGAGTGGTAAAGCGCTTGCCTGGCAGGTCCAAGGCCCTGGGTTCAACAAAACTACCCCAAAAAAGAAAGGAAAGGAAGGAAGGAAGGAAGGGAGGGAGGGAGGGAGGGAAGAAGGGAAGGAAGGAAGGAAGGGGAAGGAAAAAGAAAGAGCTGACATTAGTGGCTCATGCCTATAATCCTAGCTACATGGGAGGCTGAGATCAAGAGGATCAGGGTTCAAGGCCAGCCTAGGCAAATAGTTCTCAAGACCCCATCTCCAAAATAATCGGAGCAAACTGGACTGGATGTGTGCTCAAGTGCTAGAGCACCTGCTTTGCAACAAGCACCACGTCCTGAGTTCAAACCCCAGTCCCACAGAAGAAAGAAGGCAAGGAAGGAAGAAAGAAAGGAGGAAGGGGGCGGGGAAGAGGACAGAAAAGAGAGAAAGAAAGTCCCACTGGTCTAACGGGAACCTGCGTGCAGCCAGCACATCGGTACAGCTGTGTTTGGTGATAAAATATTGATGTTCTGTCTTCAAGTCCAGAAAGTGCCACTGTCCTCATCTGTCCTCTGGAAGATCCCAGCCCCCAGCTGCCTCCCTGAGAGCCCTTGGTGACCCATATTCTGTCCATTTCAGCCATACCCCTGATGACAGCGACATTTATTTCTTACCTGTCCGGAGTCCATGGCTTCAGCCAGCCTCTCAGGGCTCAGCTCCGGGCAGGCCCCCAGTCTTCTGATCCACGAGGTGAGCGCTTTCTGAAACGGGGTGGCGGGTGGCATGGTGAGAGGGTCCCAGTGAACAGCCACCTCCTTGCCTCCCTCCCCATCTTGCCTGTCTCTTACACAGAGCCGAGTGCTGGTCAGTGCTGTCATCTTCAGTTGCATGACGGTGTTCCCCGAGGGGCCAGGGGTCCCCACCAGGTCTCGTGACAGATCCACACAACGCAGCATGGCATTAAGATTGTCCTCATACCAGGCCTCACTGCCCAGCCAGCAGAGGTCAGGGCCTGGAGCCTGGGAAGCCCTTGCTGCCCCTCTCTTCCCTCCTGGCCCTGGCCCCCACTCACCTGGTCTTAGCAGCCAAATCTGGCTCCTCCTCAATGGGCACTGCCAGCAGAGGCCTGAGGCCCAGGGCCTGGAGCTGCCGGACACAGTCCCTCACCTCCTCCCTCGTCTCCCCGGCCACAAACTGTCCATAGATGGATGCTCTGAGAAGAGCCCTCGAGAGCCGAGAGCCCAGGAGTCGCTGAGACCAGGCCTGGAGCTGGGTGACAGGGATCAAAGGCTCAGTGCCAGGTCCATGCAACCTCTAACCCAGGCCTCGGGGTCACTGCTCACCGCCAGTCCATGGGTGACCAGAGGGGGCCAGGCACACAGCCGCAGCACCAGCAGAGCCCGCATCAGCTCGGCCGTGCCCTTGAGGCGGAAGGACCCACCATCAAAGCACAGGGGCTGCCAGCTCCCCGCTGGGGGCCCAGCTTGGGAACAGAGAGCACGACAGGTCTGGAGCATGGTAAGTCCCTTGTGGCCGCCACACGAGGGGAAGGGGCTTTGGAGGCAGCAGGTGTACCAACTGTCTCCAGTCCAGCCAGGGACCGTGACTGATTAACTGGGAAAACATTTAGGATCACAGACTGGTTGAGGGGCAATTAATTATTAACTGATAGGGGCAGAGGTTAGAATAACAGTAACAGGAAAGGACCCCCCCCCGTAGAACCCCCAATCTTCCCCTTCAGTATCACCACCACCACACGCTGCAGAGTGAGCACATGGACCCAAGGTTCAAGGTGGTTTAGCTTGGAGCTTTTGAGCAAGCAACATATCCTCTCTTGTTGCAATTGCTTCATGTTACAGTTAGAAACAGTGAATGTGGTGTTATTGAATACATTTCAAAATATATCTATAACCTTACTGTTCTCTATTCTAGAGAACATGTGCACCAGAAAAGAATGTCCATATCCCTGAATGGGAATCACCCAAATTTCCATCATAGGAAGATGGATAAATACATTGTGGTATATTCATACATTGGAATACTATATAGTAACGAAAAAGAATGGATTACTAATATATGCACAACCACGTGGCCAAATCTTCTACGTGCCATGTTGAGTGAAAGAAGCCAGACACCAGATAGGATGTGTTGTTTGTGATCAATAAATACGAAAACAAGGAAAATGAAACTATGATAAAGTGTTGGAGACACAAACATGGATGGTCAGACTATAAAGAAGAAAAACAAGAGTTGATCTTGTTTGTCATCCCAGCTGTGAGGGGAGCACAAATAGTCAATCTCCATCCAGACTGGCTGGGCAAAAGCTCAAGCCCTTATCTCAAACATAACCCAGGCAAAAAGGGCTGGTGGAGTGGCTCAAGTGATAGAGCACCCATCTAGCAAGCAAAAGACCCTGAGTTCAAATCCCAGTATCACCAAAAAACAAACAGCAGCAAAGTTGATACTATGTAGCCCGAGGCCCCCAGGTAAACAAAGATGCTTCCATCATGGGTGACATTGCAAGGGCATCACGGTTACCTCTCAGGAGAGGAACAAGGTTAATCCTTTACTGCACAACCCCTAATCCACAGACGTTAAAAGCAGAGAGGCTCAGAGAGGTGGAGATACTTGCTTAAAGTCACACAGCCAATTGGTAGCCAAGTGTGGATTTAATGTCTGTTCCCCGGATTCCAGGCTCAGGCTTTTAACTGCCCCTTTCAGCCATCTTTCTTCAGTGACAACAGAGCTGAGTGACAAAAACCAGATCAGAAAGGGATGGGGGGAGGAGGGAAGGAAGAACCTATATATTTCCTTTTTTTATTACAAAAATTAGAAAATATGCTTTTTTTTTTTCGGCAGTACTGGGCAGGCACTCATCACTTGAGCCACTCCGCCAGCCCTAAAATTAGAAAATATTAATAGCACGCTTTTTCTGCTTTTTCTAACTTTGAGTTTTGAGGGATCAAAACCATATCTCAGCACATATGTCTCAAATTGGAACGATTTCACGTTATTTCTTCCTGTCATCTTCGATAGAATTTACCAGCGAAGCCATCTGGACCTGGATTTTTCTTTGAAGTTGTCGTGCGTGTGTTTGCGATGGCTGCTGGAACCAAAGTCTTTGCACAGGGCAGTCAGGTGCTGCACTGCACTGCTGCCCCGGGAAGGTTCTCAGGAGTGAATTCGGCTCCTCTCATAAATGAGGGCTCTTCACGTCTTCTGCTTGGTCCTGTGTGATGCCAGGGTTTGCAAGGAAACGCCATTTCATCTAAAACCACCCACTCTGCTGGCACAGGGCTGTGAACAGTGTTCTCTGGAGCATTAAAGATTACAGAACTTAGAGGCACAGCCCCTCTTTCATCCCTTTTGTTGCTGTTTTGTTTTTGAGACAGGGTCTCACTATGTAGCCCAGGCTGGCCTTGAACTCAAAATTCTCCTGCCTCATCCTCCCAAGTTCTGGGATTATAGGCATTTCCCACCATGTCTGGCTTCTTTTCTTCTTCTTCTTTTTAATTTTTGGTGGGACTGAGGTTTGAACTCAGGGCTTCCTGCTGCTAAAGCAGGTGTTCTGCCGCTTCAGCTACACCTCCTGTCCATTTTACTCTGGTTATTTTGGAGATGGTAATTTTTTTGTTTTTTTGGTGGTACTGGGGTTTGAGCTCAGGGCCTCACACTTGCTAGGTAGGCACTCTAACACTTGGGCCACTCCACCAACCCTGTTTTGGAAATGGAGTCTTGTGAACTATTTGCTCAAGCTGGCCTCAAATTGCAATCCTCCCGATTTCAGCCTCCCAAATAGCTAGGATTACAGGCAGGAGCCACCAACACTGGCTATATTCTGTTATTCTTGTTGGTAATTTCTGGTCTCTGTCTTTTCTCTTGAGCAATCTAACTGCTGGAGACTTTACCAATCTTGCTGATCTTTAAGTAAAAAACAACTTTGGTCCTGTTAATTTTCTATATAGTTGGCTGATCTGCCTCTCTTTCTCTCTCTCTCTCTCTTCAGTACTGGGGTTTGAACTCAAGGCCCTGAACTTGCTAGGCAGGTGCTCTACCACCTGAGCCCTGCCCCAGTCCCTGCTTCATTTTTAACATTTGCAGATTGTCTCATCATTAATGGCTTATTCATTTCCACTGACATTTTAGCAGAAAATTTTGCAATAAAAAAGAAATGTTTAAGTTGGGTATGGTGTTTCATGTCTATAATCCCAGCACTCAGGAGGCTGAGGCAGGAGAATTGTGAGTTTGAGGCTTTGAGGCCAGCCTGGGCTACACAGTAACACAGTGAGACCCGAGAGATAGAGTGAGAGAGAGAGAGAGAAAGAAAGAGAGAGAGAGAGAGAGAGAGAGAGAGAGAGAGAGAAGTTTAAGGAACTATGAGACCACTTAAATATCTTCCATCTAAATTCAATAAGATTACCATATTTTTCTTTCTCTTTCCCTTTTTAATTAACTAATCAATCTGTTACCTATCTATCAGTGCTGGGGATGGAACCCAAGAACTTGTGTGTGAACTAGGAAAGCACTCACCACTGAGCACCCCAGCACTCCTTATCTTTTTTGGGGGGGACAATATTGGGGTCTGAGCCCAGGGCCTCACACTTGCTGGGCAGGTGCTCTATCATTCTGCCAGCCACTCTGTCAGCCTCCTCCCTACCATTTTCTACAGGCTCTCTCCAACCATTTAAAAGTAAGTTACAGACCTGGGGACACATCGGCGTGGAAATCTTAAGAGTGAGGACATTCTCCCACGTGTCCACAATGCTGGTCTCACATATAAGAAAATATCCAAGCTTAGCCAGGTGGTGGTGCATGCCTGTAGTCCTGGGGGAAAACAAACAAACAAAGTCAGGTGCCAGTGGCTCACGCCTGTAATCCTAGCTACTCAGGAGGCTGAGATCAGGAAGATGACAATTTGAAGTCAGCCCAGGCAAACAGTTTTCAAGACCCTATCTTGAAAAAAAAAAAACCCATCACAAAAAAGAACTGGTGTAGGCCCTGAGTTCAAATTCCAGTGCCACAAAGAAAAAAGTCAATTCCTTAGTACTGAATACCTCATCCACATTCAAATTTTCCCAATTGTCTCCAAATGGGGCGGGGGAAGGTGTGGGGGGAAGGTGGGGATGGATTCCCCGGCTTTGCAAATGCTAACACACACTGTACCACTGAGCTACACCCAGCTCAGAGTGGCTTTTCTAGCTGTGATTTTAAATAAGACTCAACCCAGGTTTGTGTTTTGCAATTTTTTTTTTTTTGAAGATAGGGTCATTCTATGTAGCCCAGGCTGGCTTCAAACTCTATTTTCCTGACAGCCAACCTCCCGAGCGCTGGGATTACAGACGTGCACAACCCGGACTAGTTTTTTTTTTTAGGGTCATTCTATGTAGCCCAGGCTGGCTTCAAACTCTATTTTCCTGACAGCCAACCTCCCGAGCGCTGGGATTACAGACGTGCACAACAACACGGACTAGTCTTTTTTTTTTAGCCCTGTCCTCCCAACTTATTTACAAACAATATTTTCTGTTTTAAAGAGCTCATATCCATTGTCTTGCTGAACACCTCACAGCTGGATTCGTCTGATCTATTCTCGTGATGCTGTAATGTGTGCCTTTGACCTCTCTAATGCCTGTAACCAGAGTTTGGGTCTACAGATATAATTCACTAGCCAGACTCCACAGGTGACTGTTGATCACCTCCAGAGTCCTCATGCTTGGTCTCTTAAGCACAGTGTCATTGGTCCTTTGGCTCCTCACTGGCTCTACCCGAAGCAGCTCCAACAGGCGAGCGAGAGACAGGGCGAGGAGACTCAAAGTCCTCACATGTCCTCAGTGGGGGCTTGGAGCCAGAAGCAAAGTGGTGTTTCGGAGGTAGGTTGCAAGTCACCTTAAATATTCATTATGGAGGACCTGCTCCACCTGGAGGACAGAAGGGAACACGAAGGACCCCAGACAGGGAGTCTCAGACTTAAGCTTTTGAAGTTTCCCCTGGCGACTGAGTGTAAAGTAGAACAGAAAGAGAAACTGAGGCTGCAGCCCAGGGAGGATGTTGAGGCAGGAACGGATAGGCAAGCATGGGGCTGGATCAGAAGGAGCCAAAGGAGAGAGGAAACCAGGTGCTTACGCCTGTAATCCTAGCTACTCAGGAGACAGAGATCAGAAGGATCATGGTTCAAAACCAGCCCAGGCAACTAGTTTGTGAGACCCTATCTCAAAAAAAAAAAAAAACCCTTCACCAAAAAGGGCTGGTGGAGTGGCTCAAGGTGTAGGCCCCAGGTTCAAACCCCAGCACCACAAAAAAAGGATGGGAGAGATACACGAGACCATGTGGATGGGGAAATTCCACATGGAAACCTCAAGTCCCAAGACTGACGATAGGCATGGAGTCTGGTCTACTGTGACATCTGAAAAGCACCGTTCCTTCACCCTGACTCCCAGAACCTTTCCCACGAGAGCCCCAGGTTCTAGAGAATCAAACAAGGAGGCTCTAGTCCTGTGGGGACCAGAGATGCTTGTTTGCTACTGCCCTCCCCTCCCCCATCTTTGCCGGTGCCATCTCTGCGCAGCTCTATCTGCCCT